AGGTCGTGTGGGTGAGGGCGTCTTTGTAGTGCGTGTTGCGTTACTTGTATTTATTGCGTTTGTTTGTTCAGGAAGTTGTGTTTGTGTGGTTGGTTGAGTTAAGTTTGGAAATATTACAGTATGTTGTGTGTCATGTTGTGAGTCTAAAGTGCTGTTTAGGCTTTTGCGTTTGGGTTGAAATACTAATGGGTTGTGATAATGTGGTTTGCTTCAGAGGTGAATCTCTGATTGTAGTATATGTTGTATCATTTGTTGTACTTGTTTGTTCGGTAAGTTGTATTTGTGTGTTTGTTTGGGTTAGAGGTGGAGATATTACAGTATGTTGTGTACCGTGTTGTGAGCGGAGTACTGTTGTTTACATGTATACGTTGTGGATCATTTCTGTATGTAGTATCTTGTGTTATGTTTAGAAATTTACGAACAATATGGCATGTGGTTGATAATGACTGCTTTTTGTAAATGTTTGTATGTGTTTTTGTCTAAACCTAATAGTTGTTAAATTGTGGTGTATTGTCTTTGGTATAACTCCAGTAGCACTTAAGAATAATGGGAACGTTATAACAGTAGAGTATTATTATTATTATTATTATTATTATTATTTTATTCTTAGACATCCAACGAAGAGCCGAACTTGAACAGATCTCGGAGAGAACGCAAAAACAAATAAATATTTGCAGTGCCGCAGAAGTTACACCCTTTTAATTCCTAAATTGACATATTTTCTTAAAAAATTACGTAACATAAAATATACGAAAGGATATTTTTTCATTCACGTTTGTATGGTTAATAAAATATCTTGAAAATCAATGAAATAAAGATATTTGGTGCTCTGCAGAGATTACACCCCCCAAATCTCTTGCCAATAATAAATAAGGACTAATTTAAAAAAATGAAGTAATATTTAGACACAATCGACAAGGGGGCAGACTTTCATTCGCGTTTCTAGGCTTTATAGTGCATATCTTCAAAATAATCAACCAAAGAACAATCGGCTAGGGGGTATATTTTCATACGCGTTTGGAGGGTTTGCACTTCCCCAAAGCACATACTAAATAAGCACGAAATTTCTTAAAAATAAAAATAAAAATTGTGGGGTGGGGTCTGCGAATCCGAAGCAACTACCTATAAGCAACTGAATATAGCATTGCCACATGGTGGTCACTGCCAGTAACTGTACGTAGGCTAAAATAAGTCTCCAGACAAAATGTGCCCGGCATCAGTTCTTAAAAATGATTTAAATGCTATCCGCGTGCCACGTATAGTCGAGTAGAGGTACTTTTGGGTGTCACTCCAAAATGAGTTCGGGTGTATTGGAAACATGCCTGGGGAGTGGTGAATGGTATTAAAAAGGGATAACAGAGTTTTTAGAAACTGAATAACTCTATCGATTTAAAGTCGGTGGATAGTACCTGTACCGATGCTTTATCTAATTAACTTTAAGAGCGTTAACAACCAAGTATTTCGCCATAAGGCCTACTTCTAGCGCATTTTCAAAGCGTGAGTTATGGAAACACGAATAGGGACATGGGGCGTGGTAGTGGACGATTTGATCGCAGAATTGCGTGACAGTCTTCCTATAGGACACCTCAAGGAATATTACATCATTCTTTTCTATCTATCTATGTTATAATGAAAGATGCGCAACGTTAATTACACATACTCCCAGCGCGAGATAAAAATTACATTAATCACTTCTAACCTTGGTTATTATTTTCGGCATAATTTGATTGTATAAGAGATTTACTTATTAAAGCAATAAAAATCGGTACTCTATATACAGTTACCTTGTTCTCGTAATAAATTTCAAAACTACATCGTGTCTCAATTATTTTCTCGCGCCGGTGGCTTGGCGCATATATTAAGAGGATTGAGTCGCAATTATTCGTAATTGTCTCTTAAGAGACATCAGAATCGGATTGTGGCATTTTCAAATTTTCCTTCGCACATAACATAAAAGGCAAGCGAATTGATTTTTGGATTCGTTTTATATTGTCGAAAAGGATTTCCCTCGTTTAAAGTGGTTGAGAACAAAAACAATGAAAAAATGAAGCGCACGTCCATTACATTATACTGAATCCTCTCCTGTTCTAAAAGGACGTCAGTTGTCGGAACCCTCGCAATCCTATTTTGAAAGTCCCGGCCAAGCGTGCATTGTAACAGCGTTCGGTCTCGGTCAATAGTTACTTTCATATCCTCACCTTATGGACATTGGACAAAGCAAACTCTTTGCTTAACAACGCGATTTCTTTTGCGTCTTCTTAATTAGAAGTGTGGAACGGAAATATTTCTATGCAGAAAACTATATCGTCAAGGTAGCATGGACACCAATTTCTTTCACCCATTGTTTTCATTAATTCATTCATTCACAGGAAATAGAAATATATTCACCTACTTTTCATGTAATAATCTTTTTTTGGCGATTTCATGTGTCCGCACCCTCGTGCAAGATAGGCCATCACTAATTACTTTCTATTATATAACAAAGTGCAACCGCAACCCATAATGAAAAACCTTGAAGTGTTATTGATTAACGAAATTGTTTGTTGCCAAAATCAATCTCTAACAAATTTTCAGCCACCCCTATCTCAATTAGCGCCGATAATGACAAAGGTATATCGACGCGCAGTCACTATTGTGGAATTAGGTACGTATTACACCAGGATTATTCAAACTACAGGAAGAAGTACCTACAGTACCATTCGGATTACCGAGTATTTATAAATTTAAACCAGGCATGAGCGCAATATCTTAAACACGTGGTAAATCAATGCATGAACTCTCGAACTTTCTTTAGTCCAGACTCGAGGCTCCTACTCCGACATTTTCTTAATGAATCATGGATTTACTTGAAACTTTGACAATGAATTTTACAGCTTAGGCTTTTGTTAAATGAGTGCAAGAATCGATCCATTCACAGTTAAATACGTTAAAAATTGCTAAAGTACAACAATGCAGTTTGTCAATGAAAGGTTTTTTTTTATTACTTCTTCGAGCCCTTTTTCTGGGTCAAACTTTTTGAAACCAAGGAGTTGATAAAAACTTAGTTCATACGATCTTTCGCTCCTGATATTTTCTGAATAATCTCCAGCGGTTACTGAAATTTCCCTAATACGATTATGATTTACGCATGATAATTAGAAAAAACTATGGAGGATTTCTATTTTTGGCATTGAGAAAAGAACGATCTGTGGGCTTCCTGTCATGCGTTGGGGCGATTTCGCCCAGATTCACGGAGCGTCGCCAACGAGGGGGAGCGTTGTGGCTCATATACGCAGATCAGGTATCGGTGGACTGGTTGGGGTGGGAACTAGCTAGATCAGCTCCGTGGGAGAGGGCGAAACTTCGACTCCTCGAAGCGAAGAACCTGCCAAAATCAGTAAAAGCACACGCCTGGATCCCCGGGGCTCACGTAAAACCGAAGAAGATCCTGAAAAGGATCGAAATCCAAAATGCTGGACCAGCAATTGGCGTGTGGTAGACAGGAAGGAGTACCTCAAGGAACAAACTTTGATTGCCCTTATGAACCAAACTACGTGGGACAAGATGGGGGCTACTATCGACCGTACGTAAACTTCACCAGAGTGGCGTTCAAACTCGTCTCCAAAGGCAAAGGTGGAAGCAAAGGAGATGACAAGCATGGAGCGCAAAGAAGCTACAGCAGTAGAGGGGTACTCAGGGGAACCACAGGCAACTGTGCTAACCGTAGGTAAGCCTGGTTTTACTATTTGATTAATGGTAAAAGTAGCACAAATTAATATGCAACACAAAATTTTTTTTAGTTGTTGTTAAAACACTATTTTCTTCTCGACACCGAGATAGGTTTCTTCTGTTTATTTTATAATTAAACATAAGTATACTATTAGTTTATTGGTTTGTACAGAAGTAGAGAATAAATCATTGCTTAATTACTTACTAGAAATCGAGAACTGTCCCGCAGAAGTCAATAACTCGGCGGAACTGGAGGTCATGGGATTAAACCTTCGCATGGCCACAAAGGGTGCCTATAAGGACAGTCGTCCCACAAAAGAAAGGAGAACAAATAAAATACCCTGATGGTACGAGGGAATCTCTCGATTGCGGGCACAGAGTAGGCAGATTTTTAATAAAGCAATAAACACGGGGGGAATGGAGTTCATACCGAACTACGCCCATCGAATACAATAAGGCCACAAGAAAGACAAAACGTGACTCGTAGAATCCCAGCAAGTGCCAGACTCCAAAGAGCGTTACAAAAAGGAACAGAGAGTAGAATCGGATCCTTGAAGAAAATTGAGGGGAGGGGGTGGGGTTATACAGAGACCGTAAAGGAGACCGTCAAGCGTTTGGTTCAACCACACTTTCCGGGATCAAAAACCCTCGCTTAAAATGACGCGGGCGAACCAATTATTCTGGAACCACTTCACAGGGGAAGCAGAGGAGCTTGGGTTCTGGGTCGACAGGTAGTGAACGTAACCAAAGTTCGATGGGTGGTGAAGATTTTATTACAACAAGGTCTCGACTTGCTAGCCTCCACACTATGTACGTTACTAAGGGAAAGTTTGACCCTGACATACATACATATGGCGTGGAGAAATGTAAAAATCGTATTCATACTGCAACCTGGACGAGACCCATACGCCCAAGCCAAGTCGTTTAAACCCATCAGTCTAATGTCGTTTCTCCTAAAACTAATGGGGAAACTTATTAAGCGACACATAGCGATGAGGTGGTGGGGCTTGAACCCATCAGTCAACACCAATGGGCCTATCGACCAGGAAAATCCTGTGAACTTGCTATCCACAGAGCAGTGAATGTAGCGGAGAGGGCGATCTCCTGTAAGGAGGTAGCTCTAGGGTAGTTTTTAGATATCACCAAAACAGAACAACACTTAGACTACTATTACAGATGAAATTTCACACTGACATGCTATATGCATGCGTAACGAGAAACTGTAGAACAATGACGCAAAGTCGGTAAATTCTAAATTAAAGACGTTTGATTGCACAGTAAATGGAACTTACCGACATGATCGTGTCCTACACGCAGCAAGATTAAGAAGGTAAGTGAATAACGGTATCGATGAAGTCGGCACTCTGCGGTTTTCCTCATATCTTGAATCTGTAACAAAAAACATAGTGTCAACTTTCTGCTGGCAGTGACACGTTGTGATAAAGTATTGGAAAAAGAAATGTACATTCCTCAAATCTACATTTGGGACAGCTACACGGCGTTTAAAGCTATAGTGGTTGTTTCCGGCGTTAGTCTCCAAAATAAGATATAAAGAAAAGAATGATTTAGGGGAGTATAGGGGGCGCACTAACGCATATCAATTTAAAACCCCTATAAAAATTTCAAAAACTGAAACAAAAACGCCCAAAAGGCACAATAAATCTTTCCACAGCCACAAGAGTTCCCGTGTTTTCAGCCCAGTTTAGCAAAAAAAAAAACAAATTAATACAATCGCATTTGATACGTGACTGATTCATGAATGACTTGAGGAATCCGTACATGAAGTTATCCAGACGTTAACAGTCAATGTTGGGGAAAACGGAAGCTTTTCGTCAGTCAAAACTTAGGGGCGCCCACTTCTTTGATCATCATATGGGCGCGTAAGTCCTCCTTGTCTTTGTTTTATTTTCTAGCTGCCAGTTTGACAATGAAAAAAACTGTCATGTAAAAAAAGCTACCTTTTGTAGTATGTAACTCAAATAGTAAAAGGGAAAAACTGAAAAGTTTCTGATAAGATTCTTTCCCGTTTAAAAATATACGGGAAAAGCATGATTAAATGGATTATACATTTTGGCTAAAGAATTTCACCCCTTTCAAAAGAGCGCTTAGAGCTTTGGGTTCAGGAAAATAAAAAGCTTTTTCCTGGACTATGTGAATTTAAACTTGTCATTCACAAATGTACAGACGACTTTTTTTTTTAAATTCGCAACAAAATTTGCGACGGAGTTTGTAGGGTTTATAATGAATATGTTGAACTTAATCAATAAAAAAAATAACATATTTCTCTTCAATTCCTAAATGTCTACCAAATAAAGACTAATTTTCTTAATAAAATGAGGTGCCTCGAAGAAGGGGTGTATTTTCAATTTGTCATTTAAAAAATGTATTTTTTCTAGTATGTAACTCAAATGGTATCAGAAAAAGCTTGATACGTTTCAGATAAGATTCTTTCCCGTTTAAAATTAACGAGAAAAGTTGGACCCAGATTGACCAGGTTACATATTTTCTTTCAACCTTTTCTAAAGAGCTTATTTTCCTAGGTTAAGTAAATTTGAACTTGTCATTCACAAATGCCTTTTCCAGCTTCAGGGAATTATAATAGGTTTCTTTTATAAATCGTGGTTTTGGCTGTAAATGGGGACAGTTCTCTTTACTAGAGCGAGCCCAATCAAATTGTTACAAATAACATCAGAAATGGACCATTTCGTTTGTAACAAATTGATCGCAATCACTACTTGTAATCTCGTGACGGTTTAAAAGAAACAATGTGAACGATTTCAGTATAAAGATTAATTACATTAATTAAAGGATAAGATTCCACACGCATGCAGATAGCATATCATTTTTGTGTTTAATTGCCAGAAACGCCAGTCCGTCTGTTATAGGAATATGGCATTTTAAAGTGACTGCAACAATGGGTAGTTGTTGGATAATTAGATACACTGTTGTGATTTGTGAATGTAGGTTTGGTGTTTGCACTCTCCTCCTAGGCTCTACGGAGTGGAAGAATCCCCCATTTTATTTATAAGTGAAACTTACTCGTTATTATTATACCATTTTTTATAAGCGGGTATGTCAATCTATTTAAAAACTTCCGTCCAATCAGGGAAATTGTTTAATTTCCGGAGCGTAGGAGCATTCAGGGAACAGTGATCACGGCACCTTACCACTTCCTTTTCGCGTGAGCATGTGCAACTATCACCTAGTTAATCGCTATACCAACTACCTTATTACAAGGACTTCTTTTCACGGTTATAATTACATACTTGCATGCAAAGTTCCTGTAGTATTAAATTCATGTTATCAGTTTTGTATGTACACTTGTTTAGTTTGCATTTCCACATCGAAGGTTGTGCAATCATTTCATTTAGCTTGCCGTTGGTCAGAGCTTCCTATAGATCACCCATGAACCGAATGGAAATTTTTGTAACAGACTTGTCATCTGTGGAACATGAAAGAACTCCTGACCGAATAACTTGAAAGTTATATTTTATTATTATACTTCGCAATAGCGCTGTTGTTTCGATGTATTTGTGTCGGTCCATCTTTTCCGGCGATAACTCGAGAACGAAATCGAATTTTCGAATTCTGTTTTCGGACAATTTTTAATTAATCTCGCATCGCGAAAGGTCACCACGAAAAGATATCAAAAAAAGTTTCGATTTCTTTGTGAAAAGAAGTTTTGGGACGTCTAAAGGGAATTAATTAACAATGAATTTCATGAGCACTTGCGCCAACATATCGAAAAAAATCTTGAGTAGGCCCTTTTTGAACGCTTCGGCGTTTTCTAATACATAGGTGTAGAAATTCCTCTCACATATATCATTCGGTAAAAATTTGCAAGGTCAGAATAGTGTTTTGTTCATTTTTGGTGCTGAGGTGTGAATTGGCAAATTCAAATTAAATTTGCGCCGTATAGTGGAGATTTCCTTGATGAATTCTATAATAAGCAAATTTTGAAGACAACCTTACTTAAGAGCATAAACCTGATTAAAGGCAAGTCTACAAATTGTTTCAATTTTAACTTTGAGCCTTGAGGCAAACGTTCCAAATTCCGGCTTTCCAAAGAGTTCACTCTTACATTTGCATGGAGGTAAGCTGCATATAAAACACTAAGTACTGATTTATGCAGATATCTAATAATACTCGTTGATGAAATCCTGGAAGACCAGCAGGTGTAATGGTCCATCACGTACTTGAGCGAGGTGAGGCGGCCCAGCCGAAACCGAATTCAAATCCCATTCAAGAAAACTTGGTCACATAGGTATACGTTGTTGGTGTAATATAAAACATGAACACTGTCCCATTTTCGCATATAAATCTGTTCTTTTTCTTTCTCTATATATTCACGCCCTAAGGATAAGACGCCAACGTAATTTTCTTTATAATGCTTTTACAAAACATGGATAGTGTCATTTTGGTAAATGATATGTTCTGACATTACATTTCGGGGGTGAATGTTATTTTCGGTAAGCGAGAAATGAACTTTAACTAGTAATTGCAAGTGTTGAGTGCGTTTTCACACACCGCTAGTTCGCGAATACATTAATTACTTTTCCCGGGCGCGTCTAGCGGCAGGCTCGCGAAGTTGCGTGTGTTTAGCGTGTCATTAGCGCGTTCCGGTGATGGATGGCAGCGCCACTGCGAGTGTCGTGGCTGTTTCACGCACAACCAATCACCGCCATCCCTTATCCTTAATATATTAGCGTAAAAACTAAATTTCATACCGTAAAAGAGATTTCCCCTCCATTTAAAGGTTCGCGAGTTAATTTTGTATATATAATCGTATGATCTTGCGAACGGCATAAAAATTAAAAAAGAGAATTTTCATTGATAGAGTAACGAAAACATCAGGTAAAATGGCAAACGTTGGCTATATTTGAATGTCCATTTAGGTAATTGAAATATTTGGCTTTCATTGAGCTATTGAAAAGTCGAATTCTCGATGAATGAATTGAAACCAGGACTCTTTTTAAAACCAAATGGAAAGCTCATTTCATTCCGACTGATGCATCTTTTTAGTTCGCATATGTTTCATAAAAGTATTTTACAAAACGTGCCTTTGAATTACTGTTGCGTTGCAAATTAAACCTCCCATTTGACTTTTCAGGTTCGCTAAAGAAAGCTAGAACTCCCAAAATAATTTGTCACGATGTGATTCAATTTATGTAAACGGTAGCAGCGATCCCTTCTTTGGCACTTAAACACTTATTACGCTCGAGAACGTAATTTTATAATTTCAGCTCATGATTTATAGTAAACGTTCTTTGCAAGTTTTTAGCTCAACACTGTACTTTACAGTTATAAGAAAATGTCAAATTACTCGGTGAAACATTAATCGAGAAACACATTTTCTATCAGTACTCGCATTTTCTGCTCCATTAGTATAAGATGTTGGTCTCTGCTTGTGGTCTAAAGTCAGAGTGATGAATAGTATGCACCATCCATCAATGACAAATCACATTTCTTTACGTTATTCGCTCGATTCAACTTAATCCATTTCTTAATCGTGCAAATAAATCATTCCTATGACAAATTATAAATTTTTACAACAAATTTGGCTGTAAAATGAATCACCTTTAACAGTTAATTCACTTGAAGTGCGTAATTCAACAACACCTTTACAAAAAGGAATTTTCATTATAGTAAAGAAAAACGCGACTTCCGTTCGCAAAAACCCGAAAAGTCCAAAATTTTTAGGATTCCAATTCTTGTTCCGGATGTAGCACAATCAGAGAACTAAATGAAATTTTTGATCGTAAGTTTACACTTTTTTCCCATCCTCTCGCTTGCCCCATTGTAGGTATAGTAGGTATTATGACATATACACTGTGTCCGAGATAAGAGGGTCACCTCAATATTTCTTGTATTTGACGAGACAAATTTGTCTAATATAATTTTATATGTGTTTTTAAGATCTTTAAAAAGAGCATTCAATTTGTTGTATGACAACTTAGAATATCACGTGGTTGATATACAAAAAAATACGAGTTTACTTTTTTTTTAAATTAATCTATTTATTACCCCTCTCTTGTTCTGGGCCCTCAACAGGCTTGCGCCCAATTATACAGAGTGACCCGCATAATGCTTTTTAGAAATCTTACAAAGGGGTGTGTTTTTATGTACACGTGGTAAACAAGAACTTTGCTTAATGTAGTAGTACAAACATTCAATGGAATTTTTTAATTGTTGCCAACAGGATTGAGCAGTTAGCCTTTAAAGTAAAAATAATCATATTTTAATCTTTTGGGAACTGTATGGGGTCAAATTATTGAACCGATTAAGCTATCCGTACGTATATAAAAATCAATAGACGTCAATAAAATTAATCGAATCCTGATCAAGGCCCGGGGCCAGAGGAGGTTCAGCCCCACTTAGAACTTGATCTT